TGCGCAGTGTTGGGTGGGCACGAGCAGGTGCCTCAGGAGCCCTGGTGTGGGGGGGGGGGCTCTGTTGCGGCATGTCATCGGTGGGAAGGCTCCTACGGTGGGGTGCATGGGATGGGGTGCAGTCCCGCAGATGTTTCTTTTAAAGAAGAAAAACCTCTTCCTGCACTGGGCGGATGGAAGAAATGCCTGTTTGGTGTAGGCGGTCACTTCGATAATTGGAAAAAATATATATGGGTTCAACTCAACCTCCCCACTATCTGGATGGGTGGGAGAGGAACACTGAAATGGGAACCTTTGGATGACACGGAAGTACTAGCAAGAGGGGGGAAAGGGTGGTTCTTTAGGGGAGAAGCTCTGCCAGCCTCTGGTGGGCTAAGAGAAGCCTGCTGTATCTCCAGCTGAGGGGGAACCTGAAGGGTCTGCCTCAGTGCTCAGAACTTGCACTTGGGTATTGGAGCCTGAACTCTGTCGGTCTAGCGGTGGGGTAGGCATTTGCGAAGGAGATCCCCTGGGATCTGGGGAGGCAGGAGAGCCTGGCTCTTCGAAGTGAGGGGTTCAGGAAAGACTGGGTGCCCCCTTTTGAGAGACTCCCCTTCAGGAGTCTGGCGGCGGTGGTGGGCAAAGGGTAAGGATGGGCCACCAGCCTGGACACTGGTTGGCTTCTTGGAGCTGTGGGCAGCCCCAACAGCAACAGAGTTAGGGGTGGGTTGGTTGGAGGGAATTTTGTAAGGGAGCCATCTTTCCAGGTCATTGCGATTGTATTCCAAGGAGCCCTCCTTGTGGGGGGGATAGTAAAGGAATGCAAAACAGACAGCCTCTGCCTGGGGTCTCCTGGAGAAGGCTATGCCCAGTGCTAAATCAGTTCATATAACACATGGCAGTGGACTCTCCAGGAAGTCCAAGGCTGAGGCAGGCTGGGCTGAGTTGGGGCAGGAGCCTCTCACAGAGAGCAGTGTCCCTGCCAGGCCTGGGAGTGCAGTGGCACTGGCACTCAGCTTGTAGCTACTTGAGACCATCTCACAATCTGGTTTGACAGCTACTTCTGACTTCTGAGACCCTGCCAGGGGAGGGAAGACACAGACAGCAGCAGCTGCGGCTGACTGGAATCCGAGAGCCTGGGCTGGAATGTGACTCAGTGGTAGCGTGTTCATCTGGCATGGTGGTGGTCCTGAATTCCATCCCTAGCATGACAATGAAGCAGAGTGCCTAGCGCGCTTAGACACCATAGGGTAGGCTTTGAGGTACAGCTCTCCTCTCTTCCACGGGTAGTTGCTGGACCCTGTTGTGTCCTGTTGTGGGCAGCAAACGAGATAGAGGCAGTGCTATCCTTGAGTTTGCTTCTTTTTTTAAAAAAATAAATCTTTTTTATTTTATGTATGTTGGTGTTTTGCCTACTGATATGTCTGTGTGTGGGCATCAGATCCCCTGGAACGGGAGTTATAGACAGCTGTGAGCTGCCATGTGGGTGTTGGGACTTGAACCCAGGACCTTTGGGAGAGCAGCCAGTGAGTGCTCTTAACCACTGAGCCATCTCTCCAGCCTGCTATCCTTGTGTTTCATTCAAACCAGAGAGAAGGCCATTCAGGGCGTAAATAAAGTGACTCCAAAAAGCAGGAAGTGCTGTGAAAAAAATTGTGTGCTGTGATGAGGGACTCTGGAGAGGTCGGGCAGGCTTCTGGGGCAACATTTGAATAGACCAATGTTGGGGAAGTACTGTCGGTGCAGTGGCCTCGTAGGGGGGACAACTTGTAGAGGTGCAAGATCAAATGAAAAGGCGTGGAACCAGTGAGATGGTTCAGCAAGTAAAGGTCCTTGCTGAGTCTTGGGCCATGAGCTTGATCCCCAAGACCCACATAGTTTGAGGAAAGCTTCCACAAGTTGCACTCTGATCTCCATAGGTACTCCTTCCCCCGTAAATAAATGTCAGGGAAGAATGCCTTATGATGAGCTGGAGAGAGATGACATGACTTTGGGTTTTTACTAAGTGCAGAGGGAAGCCATGGAACGGAACAAGTGTCTGGTATGAAGCAGGTGCTCAGTGTATGTTAAATGAATGCTTGCCTCGAAGAGAAGGAATGATGGTGTCTGACCTGTGCTCCAAGGCATCAAGAGGCTGAGTGTGGAGTGTTAAGAGTAGAAGCAGGGCCTTAGCCTCTGTTGCCCTCTACACCCGTCAGGGATGCTCAGGCCTGTCCACCTTTAGACTGAGCCTTTTCATTAATCTGTGCTCTGGTTGCCAGGAAACCACTGTGTAGCCTTGGAGTTCCTGTAGGGGTTGAGCTCGGGTTTTGTGGTCACTGCTGCTGGCACCTTCCCACATCGTTTGCTGCTGTGATCTTGGCCTAGGTCTCAGAGAGGGGCTGAGACAAGCGCACTACAACCACTCAAGATGTCTGCAGTGGTAGGTAACTTCCCTCCTGTGGTTCCAGGACTGCAGGGTATCACACAGTGGCCCTTGGCTGCCAGGCTCTTCCTCTCATCCAGCAGCCCACATACTGTGCTGCCCTGCCCTGCCCTGACAGATAACCAGATACCAAGTGCCAAAGTGACAAGCCTTGGCAGGGTGCCACTGTAAATATGCATTCCGGGGCGTGGCCTCATGCACACATCCAGCTTCTAGAAATGTCACCATCTGGGCAGTAGAGATTGTAGTCTTTCCTTCCATTCACGGGTGTCCCCAGGCAGCTGAAGATGGGAAAGGAGCTCCAGTTCCCTTGGGTCTCACTGTGAGCCTTTTCAGGTCCCTCATAGCCAACAAGTACCTTTTCTCCTCCATGGCCTGCCCTCAGGATAGCTGCTTCCTAATTTGTTCAGCCTGAGAAGCAGAAGCCTGCCCCACAGAGGGGTCTGCTTGGTGAGCCAGTCCAAGGGGGATTTCTTCTTTTCTTTTTGATGTTATTTTGTCCTTTTATTTTAAGACAGGATCTCATTTAGCCCAGGTTGGTCTTCAACCCCTTGTGAGTTGAGGATGACTTTGACACACCCCTGCTCCTCCTGCCTCATCTCCTGAGTGCTGAGGTCACTGGTGGGGTTGCTCCGTAGTTGGAGCACTTGCTGTTCTTCCAGAGGACCAGAGCTCTGCTGTCAGCACCCACTTAGGGCAGCTCACAACTGCCTGACTCCAGCTTCAGGATCCACTGCCTCTCTCTTGGCCTGTGGGCACCTGTACATATGTGTCATTTACACGGACATATACATGTAAATATAAATAGAAAAGGCCAGGATAGATCTTTAGAAGAGAATTGCCAAGTGAGTTTTCATGTTAACTTACAGGGCTGAGAATTTAGCTCATGTAGCATACCTCCCTAGCACAGCCTTCGGTTTGGTTCCTCGCATCAACAGAACGACAAAATTATATTTACCTTTCTCTACCTCTACTTTCTCCCTCTCTCTCTTACTCTCTGTCCTGAGTTGAAACTGCAGAAGTTTGATGACAGTGGAATAAATACAAGCTAGGAGTCCTCAGCGTAATCGTGAAAAGGCCACAACACCTAGAGATCCCTCCTCCCCAGAGGGGTCTTACTCTGTAGACCAGGCTACCCTCAAACTCAGAGATCCACCCTGCCTCTGCTTCCCCAGTGGTGGGACTTACAGGTGTGCACCACCATGAGGTCTGTCTTTAGGGAAGTTGTTCTGTGCACCTTCCCTGAGTAATCCACGCCTGCTGAGCTGGGGGCAGCTGTGTGCCCACATAGAGAAGTAGGTCATTGTCCTCATCTGTGCGCAAGCCTTCAGGCTTCTTGGTTTTGTTGGGGTTTGAGTGTAGTATTTTTGTTTTTGTTGTTTTGCCACATGATCTCACTATGTAGCCCAAACTGCTCTCACACTCAGGCCGTCCTTCCTGAGCCTGGATTACAGGCTCAGCGCATGCCTGGCTCTAAGACTTGAACTTGCGCTTAGAGGGCTTACTGGGTGCCAGGTACTGGCTTGAGCACATCTTTTCATTTTGCCAAACCTGTTGAGGCAGAGACCTCTTGGGATGGTGAGGGAACTGAGACCTGGGTGACATAGCAGGTATTCAGTAAATGCCATGGGCTGTTGTAATGAGTTCTCTGACCAGACGCTTGCAGGGAAAACTATCTGACAGGGTGGTGCAGAGATGTGGAACTCAGAGTTGTACTGTCCCTGAAGAAAGGGACAGAATTCAGTGCTCCTTTTTGAACTGGACTTCTGGCTCCTTCTACCCCACCAGAGAAAATCTGATCTTTACTTGGTCACCGAGCCACCAGCAGTCTTCTGTCCTGTCACAGTAAACTGTAAAGATCGGTAGACTGTGGGGACTGAAGAGATGGGCTCAGTGGTGAAGAGCACTGACTGCTCTTGGAAACCACCCGGGTTGGGCTCCTAGCACCCACAACCATCAGTGAATTCAGTTCCAGCAGACACAATGCCCTCTCACTTCTTAGGGCACCGAC